TACAGTCGCAGAGTAGAACGTCTAGCTGGTTTCACTTGACTAATTTCTTGAAAGATTCGGTTTGGAGCAGCCATGTATCGCGCTAGTCGAAGGCGGTAAGGTGGTCAAAAATTATTACTTTGTTTAGCTTGACCGACAAGGTTAGTATGAACGCCCTGTCGACTTTCTTCTGAATCGGCATCGGCTCCGAGCATCGAAGAACCATCGGGCCTTACTGCTTTGGATGCGACAGAAGATCTCTCTTCTGTGCGATACGGAAAACTTTTCTTTTGATATGGCATCTTTTGCTGCCCATAGAACTAATACTGGGTGGGTAGCTTCTCTCTTAATCGGAGTAATGTGCCAATGCTTAGGTGCAGAAGCTCACATCTGATCGAAGTTTTCGCATTCCGAATTAAAAGTCGGACTATCGAAAGTTCGGAAATTGGATTACGCAACCGCCCTACTAATTTCTCTAAAGCGAATTGATATTCTTCAAACGGTTCCCTCTCTCCTTGCCGTCTAGAGTTTATTAATTCCCAGATATCCATATCGGTATCGCTATTGAATTTCTTACGAAAATCAACATTAGAATGGCAAATTTTGCTTGGTCAATGCGCGAATCCCGTAAAGGAATTCTTCGGTCACGAGACATTCCTTGGAACCATAAAATTGTATACGCCATCCTTGAATAATATTATCAACTTTCTCAGGTGGGATGGGACTGTTACTGGTTTGACTACTTTTAGAACTCGTGTAGCTCAGCCTCAGCTGAATCAATAGCTGCCGTGCGAACATTAATAGAAATAATTTCATAACAAATTTCGAAAACGATTCTTGCTACTGAAGAGCGGTAACTAAATCTTCACCACTAAGGTGAACTGCCATACTTTCTTATAACTGTTTTTAACAAATTTCGTTATAATGCGAAAATACGCTGAAGCTTTCCAAATAAATTTTTTAATTTGCACGATGCGGTCGAATCCCTTTGAATTGATAGGACCAATGTATTGTGACGACGCTCTGGAAGCTCCAGTAGATAAGCATTGTCTTCTGGCCATTCTGAGCTGCTGGAGCGCAATAATGTCGGACCGTTGTGTGATTCTATGAGTTCCAGCGGCCTGCATCCACGTGATAAGATGTTAGCAAGGTTCTGCTGGGACGGTACATGGTTCCAGGTCATGCCTTTAGTGCGTTCCTGGACTTGTGACACCCTGTTAGAAACGAAAACATTGAAGTTAGAAGGCGTTTCTCGTATCCATGCCAGTGATATAGTTGAGCCAGTCCAATAATGATATTTGCATTTGAACTGAATATCTGCGGCGACGTTGCAGATTAACTCCGAAAGTATGAGCGCTGCTGAAAGTTAAAGCTTCGAGATTGAGGGGTGCCAATCTAGATTTGGAACACAGCAGATGTGATGCGATAGCTCCTTGCAACTCGGATCTTATGTATACAAAGCGCCATATGTAGTCATGCTTGCGTCGCAAAAGCCATGTATTTTATAAGCGGTGTCATAGCAAATCGTGGTAATTTCAGACTACGAACAAATGAAAGTTGCGAAGTGAGCTGAACCCAAGCTTAATGCATTGACCGCGGAAAGCTTTCGTCCCAGTTGACCGTATCCTTCCAAAGTGCTTGAAGAACATTCTTCAGTTTGGTGATGATGGGTGAGATTATTCCCAGCGGGTCGTAAAATCTGGCTATTGTTGACAAAATCCTTCGTTTCGTCCCAGAACCTTTGGGTAGTATTTCTGAAAAGTTGAAGAGCAAATTGTCAGAGCTTTAGCAATGCTGGTGGCTCTGATTCACCCTCGAGAGCGGCAGGCTCGTTCGAGCTCCATTTCCGTATTGGAAAGTGGCCTTTTGCCAACAGCTGCTTTACTTGATGTCGAATTTGACTGGCTTCCTCAATGGACCCACCTCTAGAAATCAAGTCGTCGACACAAAAGTCCCGGTCAATCCTCTTGGCAGCCAGTGTGCTCCTCGTCGTGGGTAAGCTTTTGCATCGTGCTGATGGCTAAAAACGCAGCAGGCTTAGTTCCGAATGTAACCGTATCCAAACGTGCTGGCCGGCTTCTTAACTCAGTGATGTGGCAAATAAAACTGAGGTTTAGTTTGGTTGTTAGTGACAAGCGACATATGACCCAGACTTATATATTCTTGCATGAACGCAGAATTTGTATTCATTATTTGGCGCTTAAAGAACGATGGCTCAGCGAGTTTGATGTTTTTGGGAATTTTCCAACCGACAGCGTCGATTTCAAAATGAAGCTAATATTCTGTTATTGTACGTGTTATGACGGCGGAAAATACTGTGCTGAATTTTCTGTCATGCGGTCATGCGGAGGTTAAAGCTGCTTCGACAAATGCTTGAAATCGAGACGTTCGAAAGATAAGTTGTCAGCTGAAGAGTTTTGGCGAGTCTGCTGGTAATAAAGTTGAGCTAAGAAACAGAGTCCAGAGTCCAGAGTGGCTCTTCTCGTATACGATAGCCGTGGGGCGCAACACGTACTCAGCAGGCTTGACGTTCAGAGGTTCAGGTGTGATATCAAAGGTAGACGAAATGAGAGCTGATGAGTTTTAAGGTAGCGTATACGGAATATGAGAAGGCATATCTCTAGCAGCCTGCGTGTTTTTTTTTGCCCACCTGCAGGCTAGGTCTATATACCGTAGAGCTCTTTAAGTCTTCCAACATGCGACATCTCTTTTCCATATCCTGACATATCCCTCCACGTTGGCAATTTATATACTGAAAGTTCCTCTTCCCATCTCTCATGAGTGCCTTGATCAAGCTTGCGGCCAATGATGTGGATGAGCAGTCCATCAGCAAGCTCCTGGGCTGATGACACGGTGCTGAGTGCTCAAAGATGTGCGTTTATTTTATCACTCAGCTCGCGTAAGCTGTCTGCCGCACCCTTTTCGACACCTAATAGACTGAATATAGCCCGTACGTGGCCCTATTGCACCTTTAGGGCATTATTATTATAGAATCGCATAATAAGCAATTCCGAGGCCTTGTCGTAATTAGCGTCGGTAGGCTCCAATGAACTTACTGTGTCGATAGCAGCGCCATCTTAGCAAGAGCGTAGATGTTGCAGTTTTTCAATCTTACTCAAATCTTCCGATGACTGTGTTATACATGGCGTAGAAATCAGACCAATCCTTGTAGGCACCGCTGGCCTGGGTTCAATGTAGCCGCGGATTGTAGTAAGGTTTGGTCAGTTATAGCTGAGTAAATTCTGCACGGGTGTCTGATGCTAAGTCTAGCAGGTCGAGATTTTCGAGCCTGGACTGGGAGTTCTCAAATGCTGACTTCATGTGGTCCAACGAATCCAGTTGAACCATTATATTGGTTTCATCAAAGCTTTCCATGTCGTCAGCGCTCAAATATGTGTTTATAGCTGCGAGCAGACGTTTAGCTGATGCGCACTTAGCTCTGCAGAAGTCTATTTCGCTTAGCTTGGGTTCATTGCACCGAGTATTCACTGAACTTAGTCTTGCCGCCAAAGTTAGTTAGTTTTGAACACGTATGTATGTATGTATTGCTAGCTCTGAGGCATCGAACTGCAATGTGTGAGTGTGTGTATGCACTTGGTTGATGCCTTTCCTCGCGTACGGGAATGGTTGTGTTTTGCGCTGAACTGCACTAATCAAGTTTTATATTATTGAGCCGACTTGCTTTATAACAACGCGTGATAAAATTATTACATCGATTTGTAATAATTTTGGCAAGCCCAAAATGGGGCGCTCTCAAACCGATATGAGTGCGTAAGTGTGTGTCTGACTGCGGCCAAGACAGCGACGTTCGAGAAAAGAGGAGGAGATGCTGCTTTGCATCCCATGATATATGTTTATTACTAAATCAATTGACGTTCTGCTGCGAAAATATAGCTTTAATAACAATTTTTGAAACAATTCGGAAAAATGAATCAACAAAAAAATCTTAGAATCGCATTTCTACCGAGGATGCTTTGATTCCGTTAAAAATGTGAAACATGTCTCAAATGATTTTTCATATATATCCTTGAAAATAAATTTGAGCGCGAAATGTCATCTACCAAAACTATGACCCCCATTTACGCCAAGGAGAAATACATTTTTGATATAGTGTGAAACACCCATTAATTTGAACAAAGACCGTTAAAATTGAGTTTGACGCCTATCGGATGGTAAACAAAAATGTTGCATAGAAACGTTTTTTACGATTTCTTCACACTTGCGAGTGGAAATTATCGCAAAGTATATTTCAAATAGATACACAATATGCTAGGTATACATACTACAGTAATCATCGTTCGATACTGCGTTTTAAAAAAGCTCTTCAAAAGTAGGTATAACTGGCGACGACGATAATGAAAGTTCCGAATCTACGCTTAATTGCATAGGTAGCTTTTCCATCATATAATATACAAAAGCTGGAGATGCTTTATATAAACGCCAGCTTTCTCCACCGAATTCATAAATGTCTCCACAACTAATTACGTAATTCAGCTACTCCCCCGATTGTAACTTGTTTTAATCTCATTGTCTCGCACTCGTACTCGTGCCTTCGGCAATCACCATCCAATGAGCGGGGTTGATCATTTTAATCGAATTCACTTTTATTGAAATTATCAATTATTATTAATCTGACCTACACGGACGTATGCTCTGTTCGGTCACTTGGCATTAAACCACCTGACCATTAGAAATTTCCCGTGTTTTTGACAATTAAATTATTTTGCTAAAAAGTTGGACGTTAATTAGGTTTTTCGCCTGTTCAGCGGTAAACACTCTTTGGGGGATGGCAAGGGGCGTGTTCTTCCCCGTCTCGTTGATGCGCTGTTGTCCAATAGAACGATACTCCTTCACCTTCAGCAATATTAAACGAATTTTCGTGGTAGATATGCGAGCATAATTCCGACAAACAGATTGATTTGCTTGTGCGCAAGTAGGTGAGCTTTAATATAAATTGTGGTATTTTCCGACCCCAGTTACAGGTTCATTATAATTTACTATCGTGCCCCAGTTAAATAATATTTTATGGTCATGCATAGGCATAATCGAACAGAAGATTAGCTAATTTATTTACGCGTTAGTAATATCAATTTTGTCACTGTCGAGTGTTCCATTTAGATGTGTGATATTCAACAAGGACCACAGGGACCGCACGGAACTTGAGGACCACACGGCCCAACGGGTCCACAATGCGTGTTCCATGGCGTTGGAGCGCACGGATAACAGGGTCCACACTCCGGCGATTCGTAGGGGCAGGGGGGTGAACAAGGTCCACACGGTCCGCAAGGACCACAAGGTCCATTTCCTAATGGTCCACAACCTGTTCCGCACGGACCACAAGGTGCGGGTATAAAGGGCCCTGAAGGCATTGTCAAACCACACGGTCCGCAATTTGGTACGGCGCAAGGTCCACCACAGGGTCCACATGGTCCACTACAGGGTCCACATGGTCCACAACGCCCTGGTCCACACGGTCCACAACGCCCTGGTCCACACGGTCCACAAGGGCCACAAGGTCCACAGCGAGTCTCGCACACTGGATATTGATTTGTAGAGAAGCAAGGAAGTGGACAACAAGCGCCACCTGGTGCACATGGTCCGATTGGGCATGGTGGACAAGCGGCACTGGGCTTGTAGTTTATTGGTCCGTTTGGGTAGCAACAGTACTCGCGTGGCGGTGGTATATCGATAGTTTGGGGTTTCGGTTGGCACAATATGGACTGGCAAACTTCTCTAGGTTCGCACACACGCTTCGGATAACAAACAACATAGGGATCAGGTATCATGGACGGATAATATATGACACGTGGCTCGCGAACCATTTGCGAGACCCAAATGAGTTTTGGAACCTTGATAACCCGAGTCGCATCTACCACCTTAGGAACAGTAATTTGACGACAACGATTTACAACCATAGGCTCTGGCACAATCTTCTCCGTAAATACAACACGCTTCTTGCATATAAGGCGCGGAGGCTGCTGTACAGTTATGCATTTGGGAAATGGTGGTGGAATGCGCGGTGCACATTGCGGCAATGCTTCCAACTGCGCTGCATTGTAACACTTTGGCGAGCACTCGAAAGGTCCACAGCAAGGATCACAAGGGCTGCACGGTCCGCAAGGAGAACACATTGTGAAATAAAACAGAAAAAATTTGTTTTGATTTTAATAAAATTTTAAATTTTGTTGTTACAATTTGGATGCTGGTCGAATTGAAAATGAATGTATGAGCTATGCGTGCCGTACAAGGACCATATTTGCTGCCTGAAATATCAAGGCCTACTTAATTTTAAATTAATAATCACTAAAAATAGAAAATAAAAATAGTTTTTCTAACTTAAATAGGTCATGAAATGTGCAACGCATTGATGAGTTACACATTTTACCTTATGGCCTATAATACCCTTTTAAGTATATATGAAAAAGTTGAATGAACATTGTCTATTTATGAAATAAAGTGATAATTAAAAAATATTTATGAAAACAGCTAGGCGCCTTGAAAGAATATTAAGATATGTCAAATGAATAACGGATAGAAAACTAGGAATTAATTGATTCATTATTTTCCTCACGTATAAATCAAAGATTATTAATAATAGCATTCTTTATAAGAAGAAATAATTTTTACTGGAACAATTTTCCATTTAGTAAAATATCTTTTGTTATTTTAATTTGTATTATATGCCATCATTTTCTATTCTTATGGCTTGTATATAGTGAGATACACCCCAATTACACACCATTTCAAACCGTACTCACTTGAAATCTTAAAACAAATCAACATCACTCAACTCAAAAACAAATTAACATCAAAAACAGTAGCAGTTCTGCTACTGTCGTAAATTACACAAATGCCCTCATTTTACGGATCAATTAAGTGCACACATCAGACGCATGGACTTCATTTTTCAATTTTATCCCGCAAGAGACATCAGCCAGCACAGCGTGCTATTTGTGACCCATAGATATGCAGATAGTTTTTGCCTACAACTTAATTTTTAACCAATCGTTCCTATGGCAGCTATATGATATGGTGGTCCGATCTTAAAAGGATTTTGCCTATATATAGAAAGTATAGAAAAACTAATAAAGGTTGGTTAAGATATAGAAACTTAACGTGTAAAACGTAATTGTCGCAGCCGGTAGGATACGTCGGGAAAAAGTAATGATTGCTAAAAAATAATTAATTCCCAGACATTTTCCCGAATACGTATCCGCACAAAAACCTTCGGGTCACTAGTAGTCTAATAACATTGACCCTTTGTGCAATAAAGCTAAAAAATTACCAGATAGGCTTTTCATGATGTTAGCCAGATACGACATTAAGTCGACACAAAAACTAAAGCATCTAGCTCAAAGAGAGGGATTATATGAAAGTAGCGTTACTGAAAAACCTAAAAAGAATAATGTTCAGGGAAATCAAAATAACAATCATAGGAACATGGGAAATTATCAGCAAAATGCTAACCCAACCACCATTCCAAGTGGTTATTCCAACACGAATCAGAGTTATCACGCACAAAATAAACAGCACAATAAGTCCGAAGACAATCAGAAAGCTCACCACGAGTTCCAACAGAAATTAAGTCAAGGTAGATACCAAAATCCTTTAAACTATCAAAATCAGTCCCATTCACGCTTGAATGCGCCAAACCCTCCGACTAAACGTCAAAGAGATAGTAACAGTGGGCAGATGAAAATGGATACATCCGAAAATTTTCATCAGCAAGCCTCGGAACAAATAGAAGAAATCCATTCATAAAATTGATTATGAATGACGAAGTTCTAAAATGTGTCATTGACACAGGTCCAACCATAAATCTAATGAAAACAAACCACTTAAATTTTCCAGTTTACAACGAAACATTAAAGGTTCACACCATAAATGGTGTTATTGAATTATACCAAGCATACGATTAGGAGGAAGTAAAATTTGTCCGAGTAAACTAAAATTCTATATTCACGACTTCTCAGAGCATTATGATGTGTTGATTGGGAGAGAATACCTTGAAGCATGTCAAGCAAAAATAGACTATGCACAAGGATCCGTAATCTTAGGAGAATTAAACTTTTGTTTTAGATATAATGACGAAGAGGTCGAAGAGGACATGACCGCACAAGAGTGCCTTGATCCACCCTCAACAGAGGACAGACCATTGAACTTCGCTATTAATAACGAATTAATAGAAAACAATGACTTTAGGCTAGAGCACCTAAACTCAGAAGAAAAAGAAAAAATTAGAAAAGTTTTATATGAATTTCGTGATATCCAGTACCATGTAGGTGACAATTGACTTTTACTAGTACAATTAAACACAAAATTCTAACAAAACATGAGGACCCAATTTACAAGCGTCCCTACAAATATCCTCAAATATACGATGAGGAAGTAAATAAATAAATAAGCGATAAAACAAAATATCATACGTAAATCCAAATTCCCTTACTGCTCACCAGTAATAATCGTTCCAAAGAAAAACGATGCATCTGAAAAACAAAAGTTCCGGTTAGTCATACCGCATTACCGCAATCTCAATGAATTAACTATAAATGATAAATACCCTATCCCGATCATGGATGAAATATTAGACAAACTTGGAAATGTCAATATTTCACAACCATTGATATAGCCAAAGGCTTCCACCAAATCCAAATGGATCCTGGTTCAATACCCAAGACCGCATTTTCGAATAAACATGGCCATTACGAGTACACTCGCATGCCATTTGCTCTTAAGAATGCACCTGCAACGTTCCAACGTTGTATGAACAATCTCTAAGAAGATTTTCTGGTCTACTTAGACGAAATTATTATTTTTTCCACTTCATTATTTTTTCCACTACAAAAAGTATTTGAGTAGCTTAGAGAAGCTAACTTAAAGCTACAGTTGGTAAATGCGAGTTTATGAAAAAGGAACTGAATTTCTCGTTCGCATCATCACAACTGCGGGTATATAACCAAATCCCAACAAAATACAAGCAATTGTCAAATTCCCAATTCCAAAAACTCCAAAAGAAATTAAATCATTTCTAGGATTATGTGGTTTCTATAGAAAATGTATACAAAATTTCGCTAACTTCGAAAAACCATTTTCATTAACTACAGACGCGAGTAATATGGCAATAGGGGCCGTTCTTTCGCAAGAGCATAAGCCTATATGCAAGTAGAACTCCCAAGGATCATGAGATGAATTATTCAACGATTGAAAAATAATTATTATCAATTTTTTGGGCCACTAAATACTTTAGATCCTATCTCTTTGGTCGACAATTTCAAATCCTTAGTGATCACAGATCACTCGTCTGGCTGAATAACATGAAAGAACCTTACATGAAATTACAACGATGGAAAATCAAGCTAAGTGAGTTTGATTTCCAAATCAAATACGTCCCAGGAAGAGAAAATTATGTGGCAGATGCTCTGTCCAGAATTCAATTAAACGAAAACTTCTTAGGCGAAGATGCAATTAGCACAAGAGCAACCATACATAGTGCTCAAGAAGACAACAGTAACCATTTACAAATCACAGAAAGACCACTTAATTATTATAATCGACAAATAGAATTTGAAAAAGGAACCGAGAACGAAACAAAAGTTACGAATTACTTTCATATAACCAACATAAAAATTACATACAAAGATTTGACTAACGCTCATGCCAAAGAATTAATAAAAGAATACTTATGCACAAAGAAAAGTGTGCTATACTTCCACAACGAAGCAGATTTTCCAATTTTTCAAGAAGCCTACTTAGAAATAATAAGTCCGAATAATTCAACAAAGGCAATGAAAGCTAGTAAAAAATTAATAGACCTTCAAACATACGCAGAATTCAAAGAACTAATACTAAAAAAGCACAAAGAATTATTACATCCAGGAATTGAAAAAACTATCAATTGGTTCAAAGAAGCCCACTATTTCCCAGATTATCAAAATTTAATTAAAAATCTAATTAATGAATGTGAGATTTGCAACATCGCAAAAACAGAACACAGAGATACAAAACTAACTTTCGAAATAACTCCGGAAATCGCTAATATCCGAGAAAAATATGTAATGGATTTTTACATAGTAGGAGATAAGCAATTTTATCTTGCATTGATATCTATTCAAAATTTGCATTATTAATAGAAATAATAATTAGAGACTGGTTAGAAACCAAACGAGCTATATTACAAGTGTTCAACCAAATGGGTAAACCCATCGATATAAAAGCAGACAAAGACTCAGTTTTTATGTGCACAGCTTTACAATTATGGCTAAAATCAGAAGCAGTAAATATTAATATGACCACTAGTAAAAATGGTATCTCCGAAGTAGAACGATTTCATAAGACAGTTAACGAAAAATTAAGAATCATTAACAGCCACTCAGACGTCGAAAATAAACTTACAAAATTTGAAACTATACTCTACACGTACAATCATAAAACAATGCACAAAACGACTAACAGAACACCAACGGACATACTCATATACGCAGGTACACCAGAGTATGACACTCGAGCTAATAAAGAACGAGAAAGAAGGGATATCTTCAGCACGCCAAAGTTCTAATACCCTTGCACACCCAACCTTTTCATAATGCTCATAGTGCTTTGCCTCTATCTAAGAAGTACCGGGAAAATAGTAAATGCCGAGTTTGGTCAAGATATCTTGATAAACAAAATGATTTTCATACAACTTTATTTTCGACCGATCGTTCATATGGCAGTTATATGATATAGTGGTCCGACCTTAATAAGATTTTGCATATATATGAGGAGTAAAGTAAAACTAATTAATGCCGAGTTTGGTCAAGATATCTTGAAAAAAAAATGTTTTTTCATACAAAAACTTAATTTTCGACCTATCGTTCCATTGGCAGCTATATGATATAGTGGTCCGATCCAGCTGGTTTTCACATATGTGCTGCGTGCAACAGAAAAAGGAAGTTTCATTAAGATAGCTTTAAAACTGAGGGTCTAGTTCGCATAGAAACAGACAGACGGACAGACGGACAGATGGACATGGCTATATCGACTCGGCTGTTGATACTGATTAAGAATATATATACTTTATGGGGTCGGAGATGTCTCCTTCTATGCGTTACACATTTCACGACAAAATTATAATACCCTCTGCAAGGGTATAAAAAAGAAAAAGAAGACTAATCAAAGCAAATATTACAATTACAGGTCAACAACAGACAGCGATCAAAACATACAAGCAC